AAACACTTTTTATTTTACTTTTCTTTCATAATAAATAAAATCACTATTGAAAAAAAAAATTCCTATATTTTACTTTTCCTTTTCTAATACGAATTTTAATGTGAATTTTTAGAGTTCTTTCTTTGGGCTCGATAAATTTTGGTAGGGATGTGTAAAAATCAAATAGACCAATAAAAAAATGTTATTAGTTTATAGTTGTTGGGTTAACGGGTTTTTAATTGGGAAAATTGTATGAAATAGCAAATTATTAATTCAAATTAAATGTTATAGCCATAGTTTATTTTATTTGTAATTCGCAGCAAACATCCCCTTTTTTTTATCATCTGGTTCGAATTAAGGGAAAATTGTATGAAATAGCAAACTATTAATTCAAATTAAATGTTATAGCCATAGTTTATTTTATTTGTAATTCGCAGCAAACATCCCCTTTTTTTTATCATCTGGTTCGGTATACAATTACTATTTTTTAGTTTGCTTATACAAATTCAATTTGTTGTTTGTATATATTACCATTCGGTATACAATTACTCATTCGGTATACAATTACTATTTTTTAGTTTGTTTATACAAATTGAATTTGTTGTTTGTATATTTTCCATAGTTATACATAACAAGACATGCTTGTTTAATCTCTTTATGTATATATGTAGTAATTTTGTTTATATACAATTACTATGTTTTAGTTTGTATACAAATCAATATAGAGATTACCGAAATATACAGATAAAGACATGACAGGCTTTTATGTATAAGTATACCAAAATATACAAATACAGTGTATATGTATATCGAAATATACAGATTAATAGCCATAGCATAAAATTGCTATGGAGCGCAATTATACAAACTATAACTATAGCATACAAATATGATTTTTATGTTTGCTAAACCTAAAAATTATTCTTTTTTTAATTATTTTACAAAAAAATAATAATATTGGTTATCAATTTGATTTTGGTTTTTAATAATGGTTATTATTTTGCTCTTTAGCCTTCAATTCACATTATTGTCCAAATTCTTTTATTTGTGTTGCAGTTGTATAGTTCTTTTCACGTCACTTACTACTATTTCTATTTTATAAACATTATATAAAGTTACATTATTGTTTTGTTTGGGAAAGTCATATAATTTTTTTTATTGGTTTGGTTATTAGTTTAGTGTATTTAATTCAATTTTTTATTTTTATTTTTATTTATTTAATTTTGTAATTTAAATTTAAAAACTAAAACCAATCAAACGAATTAATAATACATAAAATCGAACCGACTGATTGGAGGTTAGTTTGAAAAAAACAGAAGGACTTCGAATATAACTATACTAGCAATCATAAATAGATGGGAAAATTGTACATAATGGCAAACTATTAAGTCAAAATTAAATGGTATAATCACACTTTGATTTAATTGTGTCCTGTAGCAAACTATTTGCCAGCGCCTCTCTCCCTCAAACTCTCGCTCGCCACTCTCCTCTCTAGCTCACTCCCTCTGTGCTCGCCTCTCTCGCTTTTATACAACAGAATTGTACAAATTGCGTTTCTGTTTGTATAAAGCACGAGAAAATTGTATATACACATGCAAATACATATATATTCGTCCTATACACTTATAATTATACAATAAAAATATTCCCCTGCCCAGTTCTCTTTTGTCTTTCTCTTTTTCTCGTTTTATACAACAGGATTGTATAAATGTGTTTCTGTTTGTATAAAGCACGAGAAAATTGTATATACACATGCAAATACATATATATTCGTCCTATACACTTATAATTATACAATAAAAATATTCCCCTGCCCAGTTTTATGTTTGTATAATGTATAATTTATGTTTGTATAAAGCGAAAGAGAGCGATTTTTGATAAACAAATATTTTTGTCAACGATTTATACAAACGAGAGGCTAACAACAATTTATACAAATGACCTGCCAGCGAAATTATACAAATCTGAAGAGGAGCCAACAAATTATACAATTGCTTCTTTTTGTATATATGTATAGCGAAATAGACAGCTTTCAATTGTATATGTATAGCGAATTATACATATATATGTTTGCTATGGAACGCAATTATGCAAACTTTGCTTTAGCATACAAATATAATTTTTTTGTTTGGTATATGTGAAAGTTGCTCTAAATAGATAGTACTAATTAGATATTAGGTATGAATCTCAATCAATCTATACTCAAAAAGGAGTAATACATGGAGAAGGATTATACCATTTAGCCTCCACCACAATAAGAAGAACAAAACAGAAAAAGTGTTGGAAATAACTTCGTGCGAATAATTAGGTCTGTTTTTGAACAACATGCATAAAAATAATGTTCTACTTGACTAAGTGAACTTAAATACGCCCCCTTTCATATCATACATATATATGTGTTGTCTAGGAAGATAGTTTCCATTACAGAGTTATTTCACCTTGGCATGTATTCTTACTACTAATTGTTTTGGACTAGGTACTCAAATGAAACTGGTACTCTTAAGGGGTCGTTTGGTTGAGAACAAGTTATCCCATGATTAATTATTCTAGGATAGTTATCCTGGGATAACTTATCCCACCACTATTGTATAAAACTATAAATGGTGGGATAAGTTATCCCAAACATGACAACCAAATAAGACACCAATTTTTTATTCTAGGACTATTTTTTTTTATCCCAGTACTACTTTTTTTATCCCTCATATCAAACAACCCTTGAGTCGTTATTAGCTGCTCATAAGACCGTATCCAAATTTATAATAGTTGTGTTTGCATGTATCTTGACTAATTCTACAAGTATCTATTGCCTCCTAACAGTAGAGCTGGACTCACATGGTAAGGAAGGGGTCACTGCACTGGTTAATTTTGGGAAAAATAAAATTCGATATATATATATAATGTGGCCCGTGCCAATAATATAAATGGTATATTTTGGGGCTAATAACCGAGTTTTTGAAGCGATTGCTTGCGTGGATAAATGAATAAGTTTTTTTATGACAAATCTGTACTTTTTTTTATGCTATTTAAGGCATAATAAGACTACCCGCATACAACATTTTTGAAATATTTTATGTTGTCAATTATCATGATTTATAGTATTTTAACGATAGATCAGTGGAATTTTTTGTTTTTCCAAAACATATTTTATGTTGTCAATTATCATGATTTATAGTATTTTAACGATAGATCAGTGGAATTTTTTGTTTTTCCAAAACATATTTTATGTTGTCAATTATCATGATTTATAGTATTTTAACGATAGATCAGTGGAATTTTTTGTTTTTCCAAAACATATTTTATGTTGTCAATTATCATGATTTATAGTATTTTAACGATAGACTCACTTCAAGAATCAGTGGAATTTTT